TCTAGCTTAGCAGTTGTGCACGACCGTTAGGTGTGGCGTGTGTGGCATAGTTGTCGGAGGCACCCTGCAGAACACATGGGATAATTCTCCACGCTCTAGGCTCAACAATCCATCCCCTCATCCCTCCGAAGTCTGCATTAGTACCGGACTTGTCTAGGAGGACAGCAGCACTGACTCGATACATCAGTAAGCCACCGCGAGTCGTTGTAACATGCGTTCCTTCCAAACTTCCAACGCTGCTTATTGAAGTCGAATACATTGCGCGTACCTCAGGAATTGATCAACGTCGAGGGCTTCCTCAGCTTCAAGTTATGCAATGACGCCTAGTTTTGCGTGGCCACCGCTTGGTACCATGTCTTATTTCTCATCATTACGAATTGCTTGTTTCTCGATAATAGGCGACAATTTCTTGATAACTGAACTAGAGAGGTTGAAAACATACTAGAATTATACCAAAAAGTTCACTGTGTTGCGGAAAAGGTATGGATTATAAGTGTTATTATTTGTTATAAGTTACTATGGTTCATCATGCAAGCAAATTGCTGCTAGTAGTTCCAAGTAAACTTACAATCCTTTACCAGGGGAATTGTCGGTCAGTGAACGCGTTCGAGAAAAGAAACGTGTTCCTTTTTTTGGAAATTGTCAACCGTAGAGAACACCTTTCAGTACATCACGGCTGCTAAAACATCTGTGTTGTATAAGCTACCCACTGACTAGAAGAAGTTTACGACAAATGTTTTGTGTGAGACAATAAACCAGTGCAACGAATATGACCTCTACAGAGGTCAATCTAGCTATGGTCAAACCCTTCCAACCTCAACCTACGTATAGCTGCTGTAGAGATCGCGTTGTCGTGTGAATGTTAAACGTAAGATTTAAGTCGTTAATTGTGCATAGAATCGATGTTCGTGGACAGTCTTTTGTTAGCGAGGACAAGGACGCGAATGACTACTCTCCTATTGCATACATCGTGGCGCAATCTCAATGCGCATTGAAATCAAGATGTACGGTCCCGCGCAAGAGACGACTTGCTGGCTTCATGAGACTATCGTTCTGTTGTTCGAATCGCTCACATTTTTCCCATGTCTCTCTAACTTTGTATATGCTCTGTGTTCTTCAGTGTATTTTTCCATATTCTTGGACCTCACTTATATGTGATCTAGCTTGTGTGTGATGAGAAGAAATTAGTCCATTGTCTAACCATGGCGTTTTTTGCTTTCCACGTGGTTTGTATGATAGTTGAAGTGTATTTCTGCGTCTTTTTCATATCTACTGATTCTATTCCACTGTCCGAAACCGCTTTTGGAAGTATAGCTGAGAATACCAAAACCCATCGACCAGCCCTAGTATAAAATTTGCATTTCTTCGTATTTTTGTTGAGCAAATACGAGATGTTGCATTATTCTTTATTCCGCTAAAGCTGACGTTAAGGCGGATTTCGTTTTCCTCAGAGCCTGGAATGGTCAAGTTGACAGCAATCTACCCGGCTAAACACCTCTATAACCAAACAAAGAAAACGCTAAGGCAAGATTTCAATCATACTGAACACAGAATACCTTCTTTGCACACTCACCGGTTTCGATGAGTCTTCGACTAAGTATGTCGCGTGGAGACCAATCTCACGGAATTACACAAGGAAGCGTAACGTGCCCATCCCATCAGAACAACAGGCTTATATACTGCCCAATATCACGTGTGAATGAAGCATTTTTCACGGCACACAAAGGAGAAATAAACATGTATGGCTTCAAGACAGAGCAGTTGATGGCACTCTTAAAAGAATGCTTGAGCTGCTCAATCTTCAGATGGTCCGGAAAATACTACGCTCAAATAAGAGCGTTGGCAATGGAACGGCGACTAGCACCAAGCCTTGTCAATGCATTTATGTCTAAGGTGGAAACACTAGTAATCGACCTCGGGCCGCTACTCTACTGTAGATATATAGATGACTGTTTTGTCGTTTGCCCAACACAAGAGGAAATGGACAAATGTTTCGAGTTGTTGAACGAACACTCAGAGTATATCAAGTTCACCCGAGACAAACCAAAAGGAAACTGGTTTCCATTCCTGAACGTCCAAATTAACCTGTCAGAAAATGGCTACATTACGAAGTTGCACCGAAAACCAAGTAGTAAGAACATCTTGGTTCATTACCTCTCCTCTCACCCCTCTCACACGAAAAGCGCGCTTGTAAGAAACATGTTTCGAACAGCTACCAGCGTGTGCACAGGAAGATAGCAGAGAGAGGAGTCCCGGAACTTGGCATGGAAAATAGCCATTTTTAATGGCTACGAAAGTGTAGCTCGAAATAGGTGTAGAGGAAGCCACAGGCCTCCCAACGGTAACTCTAGCGGCAATTAGGTCTCGTTTATCCTGCCCTTCATCTAAAATGGTGCAAGTGCAGCTATAAAACGCTGCTTAAGAAGGGCGGGTCTAGAGAATTCGGTAACGATAATTGAAATGCCACCGAAGTAATCTTAGGCGCCAGCTAGTTCGTAACCGCCAGTATGATCGTCTATGTGCAACGCAAAATTGCATAATTTGCCCCAATGGTGGAGACGGTGATTGCATGAGCGCAAGTATAGTTTATCTGATCTTTTGTAAGGCTTATGGAGACGAATACATTGGCGAAACGGGTAGACCCCTCTGTGTCCGCATGAAAGAACACCTAGCCGGCAAAAATAGGCCAAATACCCCGCTAGGAACGCATAGGACCCAGAGACATAACGGGGAGGACTTTGAAGTACGTGTCACGATCCTCGCACAGGAATCGAGAACACAAACGCGCAAAACTCTCGAGGCGTCCTGGGTTAATTCCAGAAATTCGAAAATGAACCGCAGTGAAGAATGCCTCATTATCACGCGTAATATTGGACAGTAAATAAACCTGTTATTCTGATGGGAGGGCACATTACGCTTCCATGCGAATTCCGTGCGTCTGGTCCCCACGCGACATACTCAGTGGAAGACTTATAAAAAGCGGTGAGTGTGCAAAGAAGCTATTCTGTGTTTAATGTGATTGTAATCTTAGTTTAGCGTTTTCTCTGTTTGGTTATGGAGATCTTTGGCCGAATAGATTGCTGTCAACTTGAACTTTCCAGGCTCTGAGGAAGGCGAAATCCGCCGAAATGTCAGCTTGTTTGTGAATAAAGAATAAAATAACAGCTCGCGTTTGCTAAACAAGAATATGAAGAATTAGCTGATCAATGCCGAGGTTAATAGAATGTCGGTCGTGGGGTTTATAAAATTTAGGTTCGACAAGTCATCGATTGAATAGAAAAGGACATGAAGGCGTTATGTGATGAATGAGTAATTTCTGTAAATAAAAATATTGAAAGAGAATCAGTTCTGATCAGCTCTGTGCACTATATCGTTGCAATAAAAAGGTCGTCACTGCCTCGCAGTTTAGATGCGCATTGAAATCAAGATGTGCTCTCTAAAACGTGTATCAGCGAACGTATTGATATCAGTCAATGCGCATGTTTGTGAAAGATTTAATGAACAGACTTGGATGAATGCCGTCTTTCCTTCCTAACCAGTCCTACGGTATCGTACGCAATCTTCCTTCCCTGCAGCTTCCGGTCCTCAGTAAGGGATTTAGATGGTGGTGTGCTGCGTGCACTATACGCGCATATTGTCGTAATAATACTTCCAGGTTGTTAGAAAATTTTCCACTACGTCTAAGTTTCGGTGGTATCGCTTTCTTCACGGCCACGATAAGTTGATTCAAGTGTCCACTGTAGTTGCTTTTTTATGCCATGCGTCTTCGCGTCCAGTGGAGCATCCCACGAATATGTTGGCGTCACTCATTACTGTCTTTTTATAGGTTTTTTTGGCAATGAAATGACATGAACATCTCACCTGATTTGTCTTTTAGACGCCTTCACCTTGACAGTTCGTCCTCTAAATCCAGTTGCATCTCCTATCAGGTACACGGTTGCTTTTGGTCTACGTTTCACCTCCTCTTTATCACAAACGCGCCAAATAGCCTTGCGACTGAGAAGCTCAGGATTCCTCAACGAGTGATAAATATAAATATGGATTATATTTAGGAAACAAATAAGTGCATATGTTCTACAGTGTTCTATATAATCTTTAAAATATGCTATGCCGTATTTTCAGGTAGTTCCATAAATTTTAATGCCCTAGATGCCCTCAAAATGGTGTCTGCAGATGTTTTGCCGAATGTTCAGGCTCGTGTTTTTTTTTTCATAATATCTTTGGCATATTCACTGAAATTAATTTAACCTTGGTTGTTAAAGTCTATTATTTCTGACACACAGGAGAAAAGAAACAGTCGAAACGAAGGACTCGCATGGTGTGGTGGTGAAGGCGTTACTCCGTGGAAATGACAATAACGCGTTCGTTCCCCAACGCAGACACCTGCGGTCCGGAGTTTTGCAAACATCTCAGCATTACAACTTTAGCAGACTTATCCCATGATTCTAGAGCGAATCGTGCTCGACTACCATTGCGCAACATTCAGTAAATTCGGTCACCCTTTTCAGGGAAAGTAGTACAAATAGTTCTTATTTATAACAGTGTATGTACTGAACTACTGAGTGGGACAAGTAGAGGGAACCTTACCAGTTTTTTGTCTAACATTTTTATAGGGTTGTAATATGTGTTCTTACTCACCCTTCACGAGTATCATGTTTCCTGTGAATTTTTTCTCATGCGATTGGCTTCTACATTCTATATTGTCGGTAGAATTCCTAGCTGTCAGAAAACGTGCGGAAGCAGAAAGAAGGGACTGAAACTAGTGGAATGTAGTAGACCATCTACTGGGGAGATTCTACCTCACCTCCTTAAGTTTCTGTTGGTTTTTTCTTACTTAATGATTTTTTCTGGAACTATATTTTACACTCTCTTTTTCTAGAAGGAAATTATGAGTTGGTTTGTTTCCACAGAATTCAGGCAACGTGAAATCCAAAATATGAAATCTGTGAGATAGTTGGTGACTTGTAAATGGTTTCTGTTTTCCGAGTCATTTTCCTCAACTGAAAAGTTTATGGTATTTAACTGTTAAGGTTGCACCATCATCGGCTTGGCAGGAAGCGAGACAAGGTGTCGCGGAGAAAACATCCCGTCCGTTTGACTGGACATTCACATCAAAGTATGCTGGAACAATCCGCGGTTGTACAGTCAGTGCTTGCTCACATATCTTTTTAACTAACTTTTAACTAAACTTGAGTGATTGTAGTACTTCGCGTTCCGTCTTAACTTCCACTACCATTTATTTAGTTCTCTATATCTACAGCGATATACCTTCATTGGTTAAGGTCGAACCGAGTAATGAAGCTATAGATTTGGAGCGACTGAAACGACAAGAACCGATTGGGTTTTACTCCCAGGTTACACTGTATGAAGATGAGTTGGCCGATCATGGTACCGCTCAGGTGGTTTTGAATTGCTATCAAAAGCGCATTGTCTTTCCAATGAACATCTCCATCTCCATTACAGATGTCTGTTAGGCTCCGTGTTATGCCAGGTTTCTTTTTCGTCTTGATGCGGTTTTATCTTCGAATAGATAGAGTAATTGTTCGGTGGGTTACTTTCATTCAAGTGTTAGAGTTTTTGGTTTACCTTTTGTGTCTAACTAATCCTATTTGAAAACTTATCCCTTATCACTCATTCATATTGAAATCCAAAACGACTGCACAGTACACCTCTTTCGGTCTTCATAAGGCTTTAGAAAACTCGGCAAGAATTCTAAAATATGTTAAGCTTAGGTGACTACTTCAGTAGTTTTAGTATAAAGTCCATTTAAAAAAATTATTTTTGAGTTTTGTCCATAAATCCGTAGTACCGTCCTCGAGATCACTGGTGTCTAAAAAAGAAATACTCATACTCTGAGCAAGTAGAAGCTTTCATAGACCAGTTTATAGCAATCAATTGACGTCTATTTGATATGGTCAGGATGTTTTACCAATCTTTGCAAACGTTCTTCGCTCTATCTTTAAGATCTTTTATAGGTTTTGAACCAGTAAATTAGTGCTGTTGTTGTCATCGTCCTCAGTAAAGGCTATTTTTTGTTTTTTAAGTCTTAGCACTAATTTCCAGGGAGGAACTCATCTTACGTAATACTGTTTGAGAAGCAGCGTTTTGGATTTTATCATCATCTTATTCGTCCATGATATCAGCTATTTATAGTCGTATTATACGTACACTTCTTCGAATGCTGCGTTCGACTCAGCATTTCTAGCAGCAATTTTTTATATACGGAGCAACATCACAAATTTGTATATCACTTCTTTCATTTCTTGCGTATACACTCAACCAAGACCTCTATGTCTGCGCGTGGTTCCAGCTTCCGCTTATGGATTTTAGCCTTTATGAAAGTCGTTGAATGTTGGTCAAGTCAATTAAGCTTGTAATCCTGGGGTAACCGTGCTAGAGCATCCTTAGGTCTTGTGGATCATCGGGGGCTCTTCCAGACAAGTCTGGCAGAAATTTGCAGACCACCCTGGAGCGCTAGGAAGCTTCAGTGACTTGATACGTAGTTGAGCCATGGCCTTATAACTATTAGGCAATATTATACCTTTTTATTTTCTGCCTACTATAATTTCGCGGCAGGGTACTAAGCGAAATACAACCACAACGTTGCTGAGATATTTGCAAAACTCTGGACCGCAGGTGTCTATGTTGGAGAACGAACGCGCTATTGTCCTTTCCGAGGAGTAACGCGTTCACCACCACACCATGCGGGTCCTTTGTTTCGCCTGTCTCTCAGCCATTCCCGCTAACGGGTGATTGCTGTGGCAAAGATCGATAGAAATAGCTGAGAGACAGGCGAAACAAAGGACCCGCATGGTGTGGTGGTGAACGCGCTACTCCCCGGAAAGGACAATAGCGCGTTCGTTCCCCACCATAGACACCTGCGGTTCAGAGCTTTGCAAATATCTCAGCAACGTTGTGGTTGTATTAAGCAATATCATTACTACTATCATACGTGCCCTACCTGTTCTCCATTAATAACACAAACTTTTAAGAACGTGTGTATTGAGCTATGGCTATTGGTACGCTGCTTCTTATCAAATATGACGTTTCTATCAGGTTGCTCGCGATATGTATTCGTAGATGGTGAGTAGTGGGTTAGCATTCCAAACACCGCTGATTTACTCTGGTGGAAAAGTCAATTTAAAAAGTGATCTAGCATTCCTTGCTGCGCTAGAAATGACAAACGAGTTCTGAATTAACGACATTATATTCACTTTGTATGTGCCTTTACGTGTGTGTCGGCGTTCTGACCTGCTCATGCGCTTCGGTCGGAGTACTGAAACCAAATGGAGGTTAGTAGACGCCGTCAGCAGCTAAACCCCACACCAATGGGAAACGTTGGAGGTACACATAGGAAATTCGTCCCACGACAAAAACTTGGCGACCATATGTGAACGCCGTGGGACTGTAGCACCTACAGCAATAAATAGGAAAAGCCACATATCAGATTCTTCCGAAATTAATCTGCGGTTCAACCTCCATTTCAAACTGAAATATTTTAGCTCAGTAAACTTTATTAATCTAAGTAAAAACTGTTAAAATTTACAGATTATTGACAATGAGAAAGAAGTTTATTTTTACCAGCTGCATGGAATTCTGGATTTCTTGAGGTGATGAAGCCGTTGAAGGCAGTTTCGACTCGCGTTCGGTTTCTGAAGCATTTCTCGCACAGGAAGCTGTCCAGATGTTTGGAAAAGTGGTACTTGGTTGGCGAGAGGTCTGGCTAGTAGGGCTGATAAGGCAGGGCTTTGTCGCCTAGCTCGAATTTTTGCAGCGTTGGTAGCGCGATTTTTACCTGGGCGATATTGTGGAGGATTGCTGCCATTCTGTTTACCGATGCAGGGTGAAGCCTTTGAAGCTTCCGGTGTATTTCACAGAGTTACTGGAATTACTTTTTCGTGGTATCCGTTTCGATCGGATTTAGCAAACTGAGACAGAATTAAACCCGCAGAAAACCACTAAGCGGTCAGCATGGTCTTCTTTTGGTTCATTTCTCGCGTAATAGTAGTAGTAGTAGTGCATTCGAAATAAAAGTCTAGTCGGACCTTAATTTCGGAGCAACCTAATGTGAAAAGTGTTGTGCTAATCTCTTGAGCGAGCTTAACTTTTCGAGAAACTTTGGCGCAGAAACAAATTCCAACTTTACCTATTAACTTAAAGAAATCGAAAATGAGACGCATCATTACTGTGAGCTAAAGAGGAGGTAAGATCTAAGTCTAAAGAAACTTTCGCGCTGAGATTACCTGAGATTGGAACTGTTTAAAATTTGTTTCAAAAGTCGTCTTTGGATACTATCGAGGTATCATTTTCACTTTTCTTGTTAAATTAAAGGCGTATTTCATTTATATTATCAAACATGTGAAAATACTTGCGGAGGTTGAGTCGAAAATTGTTTTAGCGCTTCTATAGGTTGTTGAAGAAAAGTCGAACTATTAAAAATTTTACGTGATCAAAACAGCTCACTTCACTTTTTTAACACTCACGACGACACCCATTGATCCCAATGTATGCATTTGGAGAAAGAGAGCCGTGTGCATCGGTACCAATGCATTTCCTTTCTCCTTGTTTATTTTACCGCATCCCTCAGGGATTGATCAACACCGAACGCTTTTACGCTTCCAATATTTTGGCATGTTCGTGAACTAGAGAATGATATGAACAGTAGTTGTGTATTGAATATAGCGCTGTCGCCCAGTTCATCAACACGGTAAGTTATCAAAAGCTGCAACCAAGTAAGCTTATTTTTAGATAAAAAACAGCTATTATCTTTAGCTACTGGTTTGTCTCTTTTTATGCTTCATCCACATGCACTTTGCTAAGAGGCGTTGTTGTGCTATGTTTGTGATTTCATGCTTCGAAATTTAGAAATATAACGGAGAATGAACCTCAGTGATGCTGAGATATTTGCAAAACCACAGACCACATCCGGGCCACAGGTGTTTGCAGTGGAGAACGAACGCGCTATTACCCTCTCCAGGAGCTAACGCGTTCACTACCACACCACGCGAGTCCTTCGTTTCGCTTGTCTCTCAACTAGTTCTATCGATCAACGCCATCAGCAATCACCCGTCAAAGAGATTGATCGATAGAACTAGCTGAGAGACAGGCGAAACGAAGGATCTGCATGGTGTGGTGGTGAAGGTGTTACTTCCCGGAAAGGGTAATAGCGCGTTCGTTCCCCATCGCAGACACCTGCGGTCCGGAGTTTTGCAAATATCTCAGCATCATTGTGGTTGTTTCACACGCAATACCCTTTCATGAAAAATTGTAATAGGCAGTAAATAAAAAGTTAACATTATAACGGAGAATGTTTACTCAGCAATCCTAGTTTTGCACGTTTAGAATATGGTGCTTTCAGTGTATGTGACACTCGCGTAGTGGGTGATAATGATAAAGACTATGTAATTCGAGAGTGGAGTCTGAGAGAGGCAAAGGTGGCTGATCTCGACCATCTTGTAAGTTTCAGTTTTTGTTACCTTTTTCCTAATTTTCGGGAACAATTCCAATTGTTTGGCTGACTTATGCTGTTTAGCCTTCGGAAGTGCTTCTTGACGGAAACCAGGTATGGGCATCTCTTCCCATCCTTGAGATGAAAAGTGACAAGATAACTCCTACTTCGAACTAACAAACACCAAGTTTCAGTATAGTAGTTTTTTATATTTAAGATCTTTCTTTTCTTTCTTTTTCATTGATAATCCACAGATGTCTTATTTATGGAGGTGTTACTGTTGATTTTCGGCCAACGGTTCTCATCATGTATGCCTGGAAATTTATTTCTGTTCCCATTTTCGCCTTTATTTCCTGCACATATAGATTTGCTCATAAAATTGTTACCTGGTAAAATCCGTCGTTACAGATTTTCTTTCTTTGTATAGGAACTGGGTTACGAATTATTATAAATTCTTCTGAATTGTTTCGTTGACTTAGAAAAATTACTGTGTTCACTACTATTCTTACTATTGTTATTATTATTATTGTTATTATTATTAATTATCATTATTAGGAATAAAAGGATAAAGCTTTCGGCGTTGATCAATCGCTGAAGGATGTGCCACTGCCACTCATTCGACTTCATTAAACCTCGTTTGGAGGTGACTGAATGCATAACTGGCCTTTACAATGACTCGCGGTGGCCTACCGTGTCGAGCCAGCGTTCCCATCCTCCAAGGTGAGTTTGCTTGCAATGATCAATTCCACGTGTGTGCTGGAAGACGGTCCTGACCGCTGCGCCACACGCCCCCTTATTGTTATAGTTGTTACTATTACCACAACGTTGCTGAGATATTTGCAAAACTCTGGACCGCAGGTGTCTATGGTGGGGAACGAACGCGCTATTATCCTTTCCGGGGAGTAATGCGTTCACCACCACACCATGCGGGTCCTTCGTTTCGCCTGTCTCAGCTATTTCTATCGATCTTGCCATCAGCAATCACCCGTCAGCAGGATTGATCTGGGGCCCCCAAATCGGCATAGAACCCAGTTAAACTGCGGCTGTAGTTGAAATCACAATGCTATACCTTGTTTTTATTTTCTGCCTACTATAATTTCGCGGCAGGGTGCTAAGCGAAATACAACCACAACGTTGCTGAGGACCCGCATGGTGTGGTGGTGAACGCGTTACTCCCCGGAAAGGACAATAGCGCGTTCGTTCCCCACCATAAACACCTGCGGTTCAGAGTTTTGCAAATATCTCAACAACGTTGTGGTTGTATTTCGCTTAGTGCCCTGCCGCGAAATTATAATAGGCAGAAAATAAAAAGGTGTAAAGTCATTATTATTATTATCATTATTACTATTTAATATTATTGTCACTGTTATTGACATTATTATCATTATCATTGTCATTCCACGGTTCTCCCTCATCTGAGGGATTTCGAGCAGGTTAGTCGCGAGACTACGTGGCCCGTCCCCAGGTGGCGGATAGTGGGTTAATCGGGGACGGAAAGCCACCTTTGCTTCCCTGAGACGCAGGTGGGTTCAGGGTATAGACTCCCTGTTTCTGCTGCGCTGATTTGGCACATACTTTCTGTATTTGCTTCGCGTATTCATGCGTGCGTGTGTGGGTGCGTCCTTGCTTATGCGGATTGTATTCTACGAGTCAATTCGGCCACAAGTCTGCAATCAAATGACTGGGAAGCATATGGGAGGCGGTTAGGAGTCGCCTCCAACAAATAAGCTCCATGTAAACTCTGGGAGAGCCTGGCAAGCTGCCCGTGAGTATACCCAGCCCCCACGTTCAGAACCTAGCAAGCTATACGTGGGTATCAAAAGGCTAAAAACTAAAAGAAACGGGCCTCATTTCCCTGACCCTGAAAGAGCCTCCAGTTCTGCAGCGTTGGTTAGGACGAGTACGGAGAGGCTACTAAAATGGCAGTGTCAATGGAAGCTGCCTGAATTTCAAAGAACTATGGTGACGATCTGTACCTACAATGCACGTACACTTGCATCCGAGTCCTCGATAGAAGACTTGCTCATGCAAACAAGAAGGATAGGGTACGACGCCATCGGCCTGGCCGAGACGAGAAGACGGCAGCCTTTCACCGCCGTTAATGACACCGGAGAAGAACTGTTCCTCGGAACACGCGGCAGTAGAGGAGTCGGCGGCGTCGGCGTTCTCGTCAAAACGAGTTTGTCCATGAACATCGATTCATTCGAATAAGTTACAACCCGAATCGGACTTTTACGATTAAGAATACGTAGATAAATTCCCGCTTTGATAATCTTCGTCGTTTAGGCACCGACATCAAACTATGACGAAGAAGAAGTCGAAGCGTTCTATATCGACTTGGAGAACTTCTACAGAGAAGACCACACATTCTTCAAGGTCATCATTGGAGATTTCAACGCCAAAATTGGGCAAAGAAGAACGGCTGAGGAACGTCACACTGGGACCCATGGATTAAAATGGAACGAACGGGGTGAGCAGTTCTCTGAGTTCATCATGACGACCAAAACGATCGATGGTAACTCTCAATTCCAGAAGCCCCACCCTCAACGCTGGACGTGGGAGTCTCCCAATGGAGAGTACCATAACGAAATAGACCACATCATAGTAAATGGAAGGTTTTGCCTAACCGATGCCGCTGTTGTCCTAAAATTCTACACGTGATCAGAGTACCGTATCTTTCGTGCAAGATTCTATTTCTCGCGGAAAGGAGAAAAAGCCGCTAAAATCCAAAACCGAAGCCCCAGCACCACCGTAAACTGGGATTTATTCAATTCATTAGTCGGCTGTTGAGAAGATGTCGTTGTCGATAACATCGGCTACGAATACGATCGGCTCATTCAACATCTTCACGTTAGCGCTATGAAAGCTCAGAGTTCGAAAGTCACCATGAGACGTCTGTGTCCAGAAACATTCGAGCTGATACGCCAGCGTGGAATCGCACGAGTTGCAGGCAACCGCGAACTAACGTCCGAATTTGCAAAACAGTGCAGACAAGCGATAAAATAAGATCTTAGAGAGAGAAGAGCAGCAGTAATGGTCGAAGCTGCAGAGGCTGGGAAAAGCGTTCACAACGCCCACCGAAGTTTCGCCAATTACAAGACCAAGGCGATTGCACTCCGACCCCCAGGCGGAACAGTTACAGCGTCCAGAAAAACAATGGAGAAAATCATTCACGAATACTACTCAGATCTTTTCAATAGCCACGTCCACCTTCTGTCATATGAAATAAGGGAGGATGGATATGTTGTGCCACCGGTTCTCTCTTCCGAAATCCGACATGCCATTTCCTCGGTGAAAAGTCGAACAGCACCAAGTCTGAACAGGATAAAACCGGAACACCTGAACAACCTTCCGCCAGTCCTCATAATCACAGTGGCTCGGTTCATCACACGTTACCTGTCCGAATGCAAGGTCCCTACTCAGTGGAAGACCAGCAAGATCGTGTTATTGTTCAAGAAGGGTGACCTACACGATATCGGCAACTATCGCTCAATCTGTTTGCTGTCTGTCGTCTACAAACTTTTCACTCGAGTCATCCTAAACAGGATTGACAGAACACTGGACGAAGGACACCCATGTCAGCAGGCAGTGTTTGGAAAAGGATTGAGTACGATGGACCACATTCACACAGTAATAAGGCTCATTGAAGTATCGCGAGAGTACAAGAGACCGATCTTTTTCACTTTCATCGACTTATAGAAGGCCTTTGATTCAGTTGAGATAGAAGCAGTCTTGGAAGCCCTTGATAGTCAAGGAGTCCTTACTGAATACATAAAGAATCTTCTTGAGCTGTACAAAAATTTCACAACCAAAATATCACCATTTTAGAACGATGTTAACATTGACGTCAAAACAGGAATTAGGCAAGGCGATACCATCTCGCCAAAATTATCTACCGCCACTCTCCAGAACATAATGCGAACATTGGAATGGGATCATATGGGAGTGAAAGTCGACTGTCTGCAGTTACACCATCTTCGCTTTGCTGATGACATCATCCTTATAACACCAAATATTAGCCAAGCGGAACGTGTGCTTGACAACTTTGATAAAGCCTGTGGAAGGATTGGTCTTCGACTAAATCTCACAGAAACGATGTTCGTGAGGAACGGATTGGTTTCGTATGCCCCATTCACGCTCAACGGAACGAATATCTCCGAATGCTCCAGTTATGTCTGTCTATGTCGTGAAATCCATGCGATGAACAACTTAGCTACAGAGCTGAGCAGAAGGAAACGAGCGGCTTGGGGAGCTTTCAAGAGCATCGAGGAAGTAGTGAAGAGGAGAAAAAACACCCAGATCCGTGCCCACTTTTGCGACTCAACGGTACTTCCTGCCTTAACGTATGCGTCAGAAGCCTGGTCGCTGCGCAAGCAGGATGAAAGGTCACTCAGCATTAATGAACGCGCAGTCGAAAAAACGATGCTAAGAGTATCCCGTTTCACAAAAATGAAGGATGGGATGCGAAGCTCCTGGTGATGCGGGTGATCGTTGTCATTATTATCATTATCATCATCGTTATCAATTACAATCATTGCTATTATTTTTGCTATTATTACCTTGCTATAGCTACTATCCGTGTTGTGTGTTAAAGGAATTAACTGTCTACGACAGAAAAGCATGACCATAAGGGCATAACTGCACCGCGTTGAATGTACGACTGATGTTCTTATAAGTCATGGTTCACTTTCTGCTCACATATGCGCTAGTACTATTAATGAAAATCTTTTTGGACATCGCATTATGGTATTTCATAAAGCCATATTTTGATAAAACGTTTGCACATAATGAAAGTGCATTAACAAACCAAACCTCTTTATCGTACGCAGACAACCATAGAGTCCATTTCATAGCACATTGATATATCGATGTTTTATAGCAGGCAGGCACCGCAGGTGGTTCCTCTAAATCAATTCTATTGAGGTATCACTTGATAGCCATTTCCAACACGTTAGAAATAAAAAGGAACTTGAAGGGAGCCTTGCCGTAACTAGGATGGTTGTTTTTGGGGACGTGCATCTTTTCGTTCGTGCAGCGCTGTGGTCGGAGGCACCCAGCAATGCGCAAGGGATTGATCCCCGCACCCGTGGCTTTCCAAGCCCTCCATCTTTTCGGGCTCGACAAATTGATACCAGACTCGTCTGGAAGGATAGCCACACTAGCTCGATACATCGGTA